TCTGACAACTGGCGTTCCTGAGTACAAGGAATACCTGGACAGCCTATCCTGGCAGCTGCGCCTTGCGCTCCGCACTTGCGGAGGAGATGGCACAGTCCACTACCCGGATACAGTCAGCCGAAAGTGGCCGCGCAGCATTTGGCCAGCCAAGAAAAAGTTGAAGCCAGAGAGCGTCCCACTTTTCGCGGGGCACAAGGAGGTCACAGCGTGACTGACCTCTTCGAGGGCCAGCTGGCATTTCTGTCGCATATCAGGGCCTACGAGGAAGCTCACCCGGGGACGCGGTTCCTGCAGAAGAAGCTCGGCTCTGCTGGTAATATGAATTCCTCAACTGTTGCTTGGGGTCCTTGCCCCAGGAGCAACTCAAGGAGATCGCCGACGATATCGCATCGATCTCTGGCATGAGGAGCCGTCAGGACGGCTGGGCAGTTAAGTCCTCGAAGGCACTGTCTGGCTTGCTGAGGCACAATCAGAAGCTCAAACTGGGGAAGTACCTCGAAGCTACGATGGAGCAGATCGAGGAATCGTCTGTCAGGCCTTTCAGCTGGGCGCTTCGGAAGTTCTTTGCTTTCCTTATGGCGAACTCTAAAGGTCGCTTCCAGACGTGGATCGCTCCTACTGCCTGCAGCTTCGAACGCTTCCTCGACTGGGACTTCTCCATTGGGGTCTCCGCGATACAGGGACACTCTCGACTCCCAGAGCAGGTGTCAGAGGTTGCTTGTGGGGAATGGCTGATCCAGCAGCGATGTGGGGAACTCGGATGCATTTTTCACGCATCTGAGAACCGCAATTATGAGTCCATCAAACGCGATGGCCTCCTGCTGCGGGCAACCAGACACGGATGGCAACGTCACCGGATGGCAATTCACTTTGTCTATGCCGGTGGGTCTGCGTCTCCCGGTCCTGGCACGGTCGTCCGATACGGAAGCAACATCTTCTACGAACAGCTCGACATCGGTGCCTTTTTCAATCACGGGCACGAGCTCTATTTGACTGATAACGGTGTTGTTTTGTGAGAAGGACCCAGGCAGACTGAAGCACGAAGAGAAACAGCGTGCTGCCAGAGCAAGCTCCTCCTTTGAGGAGGCAGCTCCATCGGCAGCCGACTGCTTTTCTGCTGCCACGGGAGGCTCTTACCCACTGGCACAAAGGAAGTCCGCCAGAAGGCTATGCCCAAGAAGAAGGCAAAGGCGAAGGCATCTTCGGGTGCCGACTCATCCCCAACCACAGGAGGCTCTCCGTCTGGAGAGGTACCTATGTTGGATCAGGAATCGCTTCGCCGTCTTATTCGAGAGGACGAACTTCGTGAGGCAGCCAAGAGGTCCACAGCTGAAGAGGGTACTACTCGGTACTCCTATGAAGCTGGCGACACCGTGCATGGGCGAGTGGACGGAATTCGTCTCCAGCAAGAGGAAGAGCTCAGGGACATCATCCAGAAGGCGAGGTACAA